GTTGTCCAAAAATATTGTGTTATGTTATATTTCGATATGATGTGTACTGTCCGAGACCACCTCAGGTGTTAAACCACCTTGAGAGATCCAGACAAAAAACTAAATCGATCAGATGTGTCGATATCAGTGCATACGAATTTTAATTTGTTGTCCCTTGCTCTTCTCGCAGTTCGTCAGCGATGTACATTACAGATATTGTTTAAATTTTCCTATTGAATTGGTCTTATAAACGTAAAGAACGTCACAGTTCATTATAACAACTCAGACATATTGCACCTCCATATCAACATACGAATTAATGTTTATGAAAGGCGTTAACTAATATATACTAGAACTACATTTCATCAACACACGGTTTGAAATATTTCGGATTTTAATCCAGTACTAAATTTATGTACGGCCTTAATAGATACTCTCTGTAAATTGGGACTTATAAATTATTTCTAACAATAATAACGTTATGTGAAACAAACAAAAATCATTTTATTCCACAGTGAACCCATTTATCTTGATTACTGTTTCAATTACAACATTAGTAGGAAGACAGCAGATACAATATTTTATTTTTTTATTTTTTTTATCCTAGCTTATGTTCTGAACTTAATATGGAACACAGCAAAACCTAACTCAGGTACAGGTGTAGCAGATTGATTAATAAAAATGGTTAGACATTGCTTATAAATTTCTAATCAAACATTGAGAAACCATTCATGAGGAAAGTATGTGGAAATTCATTAATCATCTGTTTGTTTAGATAACTAATTGTCTAACCGTAATCTTATCGAATTAACATTATGTTATGAATTGGAATTCTGTCTATTTCTGAGGCTCAACAAATGGGTTAACCATTCTATTGTGGACTGGTTATACTAGTACAACGTAAAACAATGTCCCAAACTTTTCTGAGCTCAGATTCTGACAACTTGTCTTTCACCCGCTTAGTTTTCAAAGAGGAGAAAACAGTTAAACAGTGCCTCAAGCTGTTCTGTGTTCAGACTCTGACAACACGTCTGCCAAGTTATATATCTCTCCATCTGATGTATTTTACCCGCTTAGTTTCAGAGAGGATAAAAAAAGGTAAGTTTATGGCGAGATCAGGGTATAGTACCTTTTAATAGAAACGTTCATTGATTTTTAAGCCTAACTGATTCTTCTGATTAAAAATTTAATGAAAATATCAGTATTGAGAGATTTGATTATTTTGAATAACAACTCTTCTAGTATTAATTTCCAGAAAATGAGTAAAGAATGAAACCAGTTAGCACAATGACGGAACACGCGGACCACGTTTTGAATTAATCAAACAAATATTAGATTTATTGACGCCATTGCCCTTATATTCAGGCAATTAGTGGGTTGATTTACCACCATCCCGTCCCGGAGCTTCCTTTCATTTATTGGCTTTCTCAATTGCAATAATGTTTGCCAAAAAGTTAACTTTCATTGATTCATGTTATGAATTGAATATAGTAATAATATATATATATATATATGTGTGTGTGTGTGTGTGTGTGTGTGTCGACTCTTATAATGTGGTTCTGTGGTTAACCAACCCTCTAGTTGCCTGACCACAACAATACAAAGTAATTTGAAGCTTCGTACTCATAGTTAGAAAAGAAGCCTTATGAACAAAAGTAAACAAGGACAGCTTTTTCTCTTAGATAGAGTATCGTCCATGTTAGCCTAAGTTTCAGGTCCGGTGTTTCTCTTCACTTAATGACTTTTTCAATTGCAATAATATTTGTTAGAAAGTTTACTTTCATGGGATATGTTATGAGTTAAATAACGTTATTTCTATTTATTAAAATGTTTGAAAAATGCATTACTTATAAATAAATCTTTATGCTAGTTGGCAAGCACTAGATGTAGTGTCAACTATTTGTCTTATTTTCTACATCGCCAGGTGATATAGGTAAGATGTTACACATCTTAACACTAATTTCTTGTTAAAACCTACTAAATAACATAAGAGATACAATGTACATTGTTTTAGCTTATTTATGTACCGTTTCGTTAATTTTAATGTAGAATAAAACTGTAGAATTTGCATGAAAAAAGAACAATAAGAAAGTAATGATTTCGTATATACAGAAATTAATAGTCATAATTTTATCCAAGTTTTAAACTAGATGAATCGTCTAAATTCACAAGACAAAAACACGAGTACAAATAGGCTTAAATAATTTTAATCGAAACTTACGTAACTTTCATTCTAATTTACCTTATTCTAGGTTCTTAATTTCGTTGTATTACCATGTTAATATTTTCCCTTTTTTACTTGGAGAGGGGAAGATACACAGGGATTTAGTGAAACGAATATCTTTTCAGTTATACTTGAAAATTAGTGATGTTTAAAAACCTAATACAGTCAGGAAGGATGCTTGTGCTCAAGCATGTAAGACTGTGTTAAAGTGTTAAAGAAACATGACTGAAACAAAATCGACGTATTTTCAAAATAGTCTAATAAGTATGTTGTTGGTTTGATACATTCCAATTCAATGTTCATCTCATTATGTTTAACACTGGAAAGAAATGTTAAGCATAGTAACAGTTAAACTTCCTGTAATTTTGAATTAGTCTATTCAGAATTACTCCAGGTATTTCCAGTACATTTCTGTACAAATTTAAAGTGTATTAAATAACAAGGTGTACTTTTAAGAAAGTCATTCACATAATTAGCAAAGAAGTAAGAAGCAACTCGGTTTATGCGTAAGCGTGTCCGTTATCAGTAATAAAAAATGTCGTGGTTAAAAAATAGAAGAATTGTTACATGTCTTTAATAAAATAATGTTGCCTGAGCTAGAACAATATTCAACACTAGAAATATATATACATTTATTTATTTGCATTTGCTGAAAGGCCTGATGGTTGGAGCTCTTGACTACCAATCTACAGGTGAAAAGTTCGAATAGCATCACTGAATATGCTCGCCCTTTCAGCCGTGGGGGCATTATAATATAACGGCCAATCCCAATATTCGATTAGAGTAGCCAACAATTTGCGGCGGTGTTTGGTATTGACTTTTTTCAAAATTATACATACAATCTACGTACTTTCAATAATTAGTTGTATACTTAGCACAAAAAACAGAAAAACTATTAATAGTCATAACCTGGTAAAACATTAATTCTACAATTCCATTTAATTTTCAAATCCTATCAATCACTCAAAGGATTTCTTTTTCATTCATTGTTTATACATACTTACTTTAAGTGAAATGTTTTTAACTCACGTGCTACTTATTGCTTTTTGATTTAAAAACTTTAATAGAAAAAAACGTATTGTTTAAATGATCAAGTCCAGTGGACATGAATAATTTTTATTCTGATGTACTTTTAATCTTTATATTTCCTCTGGCATATTTTGGAAAAAATCAACAACTTTCATAGGACACTCACCGTGCATCACAGGAGTACGTTAGTAATATAAGTTACTGAAAGTTAATTATATTCGGAGAACGTCGTTATTGAGAACTATTTGATATTCCAAGTTATTACATACTGATAGAATCTTTGAAAGAGGAGGTGGGGTTTCTTTTTACGTATATACGGGATGAACTGCAGCTTGTTGGGAATAAAGACGTAAAAAGGAAAGTCAAACATCTTTATGGGTTCCAATCTTGTGTTTCAAAGGTAGCAAAGTTTTAACTGATTGTTTGTTAGACTTCCTAAACATAGTGTAAGCAATATATCGTACAGAGATCAAGGATGTTACTAATAAGAAGACTAATATAGTAATTATGGAATACTTTAATTTTAGATGTACTGATTGGAATTATGTAGAGTCGAATAATGCAGAAGTGAAATTTCTTGAAGTGATTCAAAAAAGGTTTCTAATATAAAATGGTCAGAGAGCCAACAAGGGGATGACATTTTAATATGGTCAGAGAGCCAACAAGGGGATGACATTTTAATTTATTTTTAATCATTATTGAGGATATGGTTGTACGAATTAAAGCGTCGGAATGTTTATGGAAGGGTGATTATTGCATAAGTATGTTTGTTGTTTTACTACATTTTGAGGTATAGGTAAATTAAATTTTAGTTCCTAATTTTCAGAAAGCTGATTTCAGGCCATAAGACAAGATTTACGTTTGTGAGTTGGGATAATCAGTTAAAGAATGATTTGGGACACACGTGCAGAATTAATTGGGTCAGTTGGTAAGTGGAACAAATATTATGCAAATGACATATATATTTAATTGTTTTAAGTGTAAGGTAATGTATATGGGGGCTTTATAATTTAGATCAGACATTTAATATAGATAAGAGCTTACTCAATACATGACAGAAGAAAAGGACCTTGGCACAATGGGAATAATCCACTCAAGCCATCAAAACAGTGCTCTTGTTGCTAGTATCAAACCAAATATAATTACACGTTGTATTTATAAAGTCAAAAGAGAGTACTTCTACTCTATAAAAATCATTAGTTAGGTAAAATATTAGTTTCCGTATATAATAGAGGATATTGACTTATGAGAAATGATTCATAAGAAGGCTACTAGGATGATTCAAGGGGGCGGATGTTATCTTATATGAATTGGTCGAGACACTTTAACGTATTTTCTCTTAAGAAAACAGCCACATCGAAAGATCTGGGTGTCGAGATACGGTGCTACTGAACATCCACCGCTATTTTTATTTGGGGGTCGTTATAAAAGTTATGGGGCTCAAAGAATTGGATAAAGCTCTTGAGGGTGAACATTTATTTTCATAAAGTGCACCTGAATATCGCCTACTAATCTAGAAGCAGAATTTTATAGTCTTAACAAATATATATATATATATATATTAACACTGAGATATTTAATTGTTTTTGTTCCAGACAAACTTGTTATTTTCCACAGTTGTAATTTGTATAAGAATATTTTTTCAACAAATTCAAATTGCAACAGCTCGAGTTTATCTTTAACTATTTTTTAAGAGCACTGACAGAAGCAGTAACACTTAAATCAGAAATTCGGTTTTCAACGCTCATTGACCTTCAACGACACTTACGAGAGTCCACTCAGAGCAACTTGATTATACATATGAACATAAGTGTCTGTAGCTATAGCAAGTCCACAGCTGTTTATTGTGCTACAGAAGAAGAAAACAAAATAATAAAAAAACAAAGATTCTTCATCAACTACACTTTAATTTCAGAAAGTTAGAGATTATTTCTAAACGAACACTACCTGTTTGGCAAGTAGAAACAGGTTATTATCCTGATATAAAATACCCTATACTGACTAGAAAACGTCATGTAATTATGATGTCACAAGTATATGCTAGAAACATAAAATGCTGTAAAAGAACTTTAAGTAGCCGAGTTAAAGTGATCAATAATTTTTGTTGAGCCGTGTTCGATGTAAGTTTTGACCCTTTGTTTAGTGATATTTCAGTACAGCAAAACTAAAGTAGATTGATTTACAACGACACATGATTTCAGAAAATGGAGGCCCGGCATGGCCAGGTGGTTAGGGCACT